ATCCGCATAATTCTCTCTCTCTTTTTTTCTCTCACTCCTTCTCTCTCTCATTTCTCTAATTACTCACTTTTTTTTTTTTTTTTTTTTTGTATACCAGACGAGGTAAAAACGAAATGATAATATCAATATTTTGCAAATGATTTATTTATATTTCCGGTCGTTTGTTTTCTTTTTTTTTTGGAGAGAGCGGGAGGGGAGTTTTGAAAACTACCACTCGGTAATTGTTTTTTTTTTTTGGGGAGGAGACAGGGGAAGGGGAGGAAGGGAACATTCACGTTTATTTTGACGAAAAAAAAAATGAAGGAATAATACGTTCGACTTTAATTAAAAACGTACTAGGAGGCGTTCGGACCATCGAAATTAAAAAAAAAAAATTTCGGTTTTTCGTTTTTTTTTTTTTCTGACATGTGAAGTTTTTTTAAACGTGGTAACGTACAAAGAAAAAGATGGATGAACAAAACAAAAAAAGAAGAAGAAGATGAAGAACGAATGAGATTATAATAAATCACGTTGAAGTCTATTGGGGATGATAATTACCGGTTGGGTCGATCGTGTTTTCGATAATACGTCTGATTAGCATTAATTTTTTTTAAATAAGTGTCAGTGACGGGTCTTCGGCGCACCCACTGGAACCAAAATCAGAAGAAGAAGAAAAAAATGATGATGAATCTATATAAAACCCGGTTACGCTTTCGCCTTTCAACTCAAATTTTTTTTTTCTGGAATATTCTCTTAAAGTGACGATATTTTCTTCCGACGACATCCGTTTATTTTTTGTTTTTATTGTTACGTCGAACTAACACACACATTGCATCCCCGTTTCCGATTCATTTAATAATTACGTAATAATTACTCGTAATAATAATAATAATAATATAATTTTACAAAACAGTTGAAAACTTGAAAAACTAAAAAAGAAAAAAAAACAAGTGTTAAAGGCGATTTACTTGTTGATCCTTATTATTATTATTATTATTATTATTATTATTTAATTTCCTCTTTTTTTTGTACCGAACGTAATTTTTATTTTGTGTTTTTAATGTTTTTAACGTTCGAACGTTGGCGGCAGCGGCAAACATTCTTCCATCATCATCGTTTTTCATCATTTTTTTTTTTTTTTTTATTGATTTACGACACTAAACGTCATTAAAATTAAATATTATTATTATTATTTAAAATTCCAATGCAGGAAAAATAAAAAAACGAGGGGAAAGGAAAATGGGGGGGGGAAATTTTTTTCTCTTTCTCATCATTTGGTTTTTATGGGATTCTTAAGGGATGAAAATAAGGGCGGAATGGAATTACAATCGCTTAGTTGTTTTCTGCAGCGGTTTTATAAAGTAATATCGGTGTCTGTCGGGTGAATAAATTGTGCATAATTTTTTTTTTTTTTTTTCTGAAAAATGTTCGGTTCGTTTTTGAAAGAGAGGAGAAAAGGGGGAGGGGTATGAGAAGGTGGTCGAAATATTTCAAATTCGTATTATTGTATATGTTTACGGAATTAAAAATAATTTAAATATAAATATTTTTCGATACCGCATTCGATTCTGTTTTTTTTTTTTTTTTTGACTTTTCCGGTTTTTTCTCTCGCATCTTCTCATCGTTACAAAGATTTTTGTGACCGATTCGTTGTTTTGAAATAATTTTCTACCTACCTACCACCATCATCTGAGAGAACCGCATTTTCTCGCGGTTTTCGAAAAAGATTGTGGTTATCCGTGATTGTTAATAACCCCCCCCCAAAAAAAAAGGTATCGAGTAAGTTGAAATGATTCAACAAAAAAAAATTTATGTTTAATATAATATGTTTTGCATATATCCGGTCATACACGATATCATCGAATAAAATTATTATATCAATCGTGATGTTCACGTGATTACCTTTCCTACTATTGTTGTTATCATTGATAATAGTCAATCGTGCGGCGAAAGAGAAACATCAATTTTGATATGATTTGATGATGATTATGATTATTATTATGTTTATGATTTATGACATTTTATTGTTTTAAAATCGTTCGTCGTGAATTTTCTCTCTGTTGGTTTTAAGTCAAGTCACATACAGAAAAGAGGTTTCGATAATCGTCGGTTTGTTTGTTTCCAAATAAGACACACATCAACATCATGTGTTCACATAAATTCACAATCATAACCTCAAGTCGTAAATTATTATATTTTAGTTTCGTTTCGTCAAATTGTTCGTCACAGTAGAAATTTAGCTGGTTGTTGGGTGGTCCGTTTTACGTGTGGCAAACGAGACAAACACACGCAGACAGACAATTTTTTTCTACGTCGTTTTCATTTGCAACGGAAATTTTTTTTAAATCATATTTTTTAACGGGGGTACGCGTTTATACATCTACAAGTCACCTAAAGAAATATTTTTTTAAAAAAAATTTTTTTTAAAACCTTTTCTCCCCTTTTTTCTACCCCCTCTCCATTTACTCCCCATTAAAAAAACCGAAAACGTCCCGCCACGAGTTTTTTTTTTTTTTTATTTTTTAAATCAATTCGGGGGGATGTAATAAATTTTCAAAGCAATTTTCTTTGTTAATAAAAATTATAACGGAAAAAGTTTTTTCCTTTTTCCAAAAAAAAAAGGAAAAAAAGAAGAAAAAAAAGGAAAAAAGGAAGAAAAAA